CTAACGGCAGTGAGAAAGCCGCTAAATCCATTGGCAACTGGCTCAACAGCCGCTGATCATCCGCGATAGAGCTAGTTAAGAGGAGTCAGTTTGAGAGGCATTTGAGACCCAAGGCGCATTTGGTTTCTGATCATAGGTATCATTACCCCTGCAGGAACGCGCTGAATATCTGGCTTCTCTGCAGGAATGTCGATCTCAAAATTTTCAATGAGATCGACGAGTAAGGATTGTAACTCAATGACGCTATCGAATAAAAGTGTTACTAGGCTGATGCGTGACAAAGTGAGCCCACGTACGCAAAACGCCATCCTAAGCAGGCCTTGGAACCGCTCCCTAATGTGGCTAAATTTAATACACGCACTCCGCAGACTTGAAAATAAATTTACCGAAAGACATCCTACAGGCACAAAACTGTCAGTCAAGTTTGTGATAATATGTGCATAAGGTGGAACACACAGATTAGCATACAAACCAACAGTCGTCTGCTTCTCTTTGTCTAGATCGAAAAAACGCCTAGGATTCCATAGATGAGCGTCCTCGCCCCATACTTCTGGTAGCCTGGACATGGTAAGGAGATTTAATGAATGATCGATGTAGTCAAGATACAAGTATGACTCGCCTATTGTATCCCCAGACGGAAACACTAACATTCTGCCCCTTGCTGACCGGTATCTCAGAGATCAAATTGCCATCCTCGGTTAGAATTGGTTTCGAAAGCGGAATCACGTCGTCTTGGTTCGCAACACGCACAAGCATGTAAACCAGTGGATGTAGGCGGAGTCCTTCCTATTTGAACACAGCTCCAGTGAGTGCCAAGACAAAACACACAATTTGTCTTACCTTGATCGCGGCATTCACGTATATTAGGGAGTCAAGGTCAGACATAGTCAAATCGGGATCGCTTCGTTCATTCACTTGTGCACGCATCGCCGCTATTTCGGCGCGCATCTCGGACTGGAATCTTTTATCCTTTGCTAGCTCCCAGAGGATCCAAGTAAGAGCACCAGCAGAGGTCTCATGCCCTAAATGAGAGAAATGTCAATAATCCGCCAGTTGATACAATTGCAGAAACGAACCCGCGAGGAGGAATGTAGCGACTTGAGCCGTCATCTCTGCTTGTCTCAGCTCAGTCTTAGGATTCTCGGAAGCGTTGGCCTTGACTACGTTTATGCACGTCGCTTCGATGAATTCATACATGAGCATACAGCTTGCGCTCACCGAGAAGGCTCATGATGTCTTTCTTCTTTTCCCCGTCATTGTTGAGGCACGTCTCAATTTTCTGGCCGATCAGTCTACGCGATAGTTGGTTAATAGTCTGCAGTGAATACCGGAGGCGTTTATATTCCTTGGTGGGGATGTACACAATGAAGCGAAGTATCGAGTCGGGGATGTATGGCCACATCGACCGAAACAGGAGAGTTGCGCGCGTCGGGTGCATCACAGAGTCTCGGCTAGAACACAAGCTGAGCAACGGGAGCGATAGCAGCGTGAAAAGATACCGACAACATGTTCTTGTATACGTGAACTAATTCGTTTTCTTCATCGTCCAAAGCGCCGCAATGATAGTCGAATGCAGCTGATCCGACAGGTGTGAGGAAGACCATGTTCAAGCAGAGAATTAGACATACCCTCTCCGATAATATCGAGCGTTGTTCTCGAAAACCACCGGCTGACGTTGATAGTACGTTCTGCGTCGGTCATTGCAGACTGGAGCTGTTCTTTCCACTTGCGACTAAGCTATCTCGTGATGTCAAAAACGTGTGGACCACGACTGCGGTCAATCTGCACATACTTTTGCGGCAGACTGACGGAACAACGGCAGGAAAGATCGTAATTGTGCAGTACTGAATGCGGGCTCCATGATTCTTCTAATTCGCGAGTGGTTATGCCCTGCGAAACGTTGAGTCTGCAGAGGACCAGATCAAGGAACGATTCGACCGACCGTCTGCATACAAGACGCTTTCGCCCATGAGTTGCCTAGCAATGTGCCTGGCATCTGTGCGTCTAGCGTAGCTGGAGCCAGCCTTGTTGAAGATGTGTTGCACAGCCTATCACCAGCCTTGAGACTGCTGTCTCAAATTGTAGTGAGATGTCCATACCTTAGGGTCAGTGAACCATAGATTATCTGACTGTTGAGGTCTTAGCGTCAACATTTGGGAACTTTCAATAGCCATACATACACCCAAACATTCTTTGATGCGCCATGCTGAACCATATTCACTTGTCCATGCACCCTCCAGTTGTCCGACTTCCTCTTGACGTGTCAAGGCAAAGGTATGACCTGTGGTGATCAGGAATCGAAAGGCAGTAAATAACATATATGTTGATCAGTACTGACCGAAAAAAAAGCTCGGAGAGGGGGGTCCTCTGATATGCTTCAGTGAACGCCGCTTTGTGAAGTTACGAATCGCCAATGCGAAGACCGCAATTGCGGTAGCATATATGAAAGAGAGATAATGCATTTACTAGACCACTTCAACGGTGATTAAATTGGTGTAAACCCCACGTAGTGCAACGCTCACCTCCTGACTTGAATGCCGGGAAAAGGACAATCAATGAACCGAGGTGGGATATCGGAGGGAGGGACATTGGTATCTGGAATGTATTTATACGGTCGGGATAATCTTACAATATTACGATCCGCGGATGAAATTTTCCGAGGATTAGCTGTCTTACTGTCACAATCCCATGACATTTGGGACAAGGAGTTGCTTGGCTTAGACACCCACCATCCAGGTCCCGTCATCACGAACCAGTGGAAAGAGGTTGAGCGGGTGTGTGGGTCCGAGTGCCTTGTACGGGATCTGTAGGGCCGCGTGGTGATGAAATGTCAGATCCTGACATCGGCTTGCAAAGCCCCCGAACAGATAGAAGGTGGACAGCGATCAATGGCGCCAGCTCACAAAATGTCAATACACAATCTTGTTACTTTCATGGTGTCTGGAGTACGTACGTATTGAGCGTGCGGCATCCACGCTGAGCATACAAGTCACCTCGTAGACCATCCCTGACGTTCAATCCAGGCCCTCGCACTCGAATGCGTAGCAAGCTGTAGTGGCCATCACTTGGACAGTCATATAGCGATACGCAACAGACTCGCCGTAAGCAATCCTTTTCGTACCGTGGCAAATCTCGTCTAAACTCAGATTATAGTCAGCTAGGAACATCCTTTACGTTACTATCACAGCCCTGTCAGTAGGCTGGTCACTGCTGACAGCCAGCCTTGTCTTTTGCCTGGATCGCCGAGTGAAGCCAGGGTCGATCAGACGTTCAGTTGGAAGGGAGTGCCTGAGACCATGAGCGCACTTGCTCACCGGCAGGTAACCTAACTGCCCACCGACAATTACCTGCTCACCAGGAGGTGTCCGATGCCTACGCTACGAATCAGACTCACGCACATGTCCGTGATTCATGTAATTTACTGTCTACATAGGGCTTGGCCCTCGCGGACAATAAAGGGACCCAGAAAAAATTGTCAGGCCGACGTGACTTCGCTATCGTAGGCCAAGTATCGGCGGAGCTGTCATACTGGGTATTCTTCGGCGCACCATCGCGTACAATCCGCAACAGCAAATCGAACAACACCTACATTTGATTCCGCCTCATTAAATTCCTCCGCACCCGTCGGCGCTCTCCTCCGACGCCTTCACTTTTCCCCCACTTCAAAAACGGTACCTTTCCGGCCTCGATTCCCGCGACGTCGCCGCTATCCATGGTGCGGAAGTCGAGCATGCCCCAGACCGGCAGCTCCAGCTCACCCTTGACGAGTGTTCGCGATGATGAAAGGAGTAACGGTGGAATGGGTGTGAGAAGATGCAAGACTAGGGATGATGGTGACAGAGAACGAAGTAGTGCCAGTCCACGGCAGGTAGAGATAGATGGCGGTGGTGGTGGAGCGCCTTGGCTGTATGGGAAGGTGGAAGATGGGGTAGATGAATCATTTCGGACTTCGTTTTCGAAAGTGCCTGGCTCATACTCCACAAGTCCCACTATTGCACCATTGAGTACATGGTGCAGCTCCGATAAAACAATATCCTCCATCCCAGGGCCAGTCAGCACAATGTCGTCAAAGGCAGTCCGACAGTCAACCTCATACGGCAAATGCGCACAAAGAGGAAGTGCCGTATTCCAAGACGTCGCAGTGGTGTTGCCAAGAGGGTCAGTTGAAGCATCGCTCGGGAATGTTGCATGTAAATACGACAGAATGGACATGTTGCGATGGTCAGAAGCCGTATAGCGTTTCGAAAGTTCCGTCGACACCGCGGGGTTCAAGAAGTGCAGCCGAGCTCTATGTGGCTCACGACCACGACTCAGTGAAGACCCGGAGAAGTCAGCGGAGAACCATTCCTCTTCAGAATTCTCGAATTTGAAGATGTCTGACGGCTCAACCATTTGTTCAATTTTCCATGCTAGATCAGCGCCGAGCCCTTTCGTCCAGCCCATGGTATTCACGACGAGTGGAATGACATCGGCTATCCGGTCGTCTGCAGATTCCGTCCCTTCGTTGGATAAGAGAGCCGCGTGTTGAATGTCAATATTATAAGTTTGTACTAGTGCCTTTATACATTCCAGATAATGGGTCGGACAAGAACGCGGCGAGGTAGCACCGATATAATGTGCCGCATGAGGAATGCTGGGATGTGTGAAGGGTGGACCTAGATGCACGTTCAGAGGCTGCAGCAATCGCTACGTGAATAGCTGACCGAAAACAGGCTTATCTATGATATTGAGAGCAATGAGACCTCCTGGGGTGAACTCCGATTGTCCGGGATCACATTCAAGAAATGCAACCCGACGATATCTGGAAGAAAGGTCCAGATATCAGACGCGACGTGTAGTCTGCCAAGCTCCAACTGATTATTTACCTATGCGTAAGCTTATTTATAAGGGTTCTGGCGAAAGTACTTTTACCCGAGTTCCTCGGACCCTTTACAAGATAGACACGTCGGGAATAATCAAATTCCAGGCTATTTTCAGGAATGTTACTGAGCACAGCATCGAAAGCCGTTCTCCAAGATGGGAGAATAAGCAATGGTGATAGCCCATGTGCGCTTAAGGAAGCCTTGCGCAGTAGAGTTAGCAGTTATATAACGAGATGGTCGTCAACGACGCACCATATGGGCGCCTTGAAGATTGAGTGCAGATGGCTCGCCTCTTCTCCACCCGGTAGGCGCGAAGATACCATCGAAAGTTCGGCAGACTCGCTCCAGTCCTTCAACGCCTGTATACAATTCCTGAAGCACTATCAAGGCAGCGCTCTGCGCAGCCGCAGTATGGGCTCGAGGAGGTATTGCGGACGTCTCCCCACAGAGCGTCGATGCGCCCGAAGTAAGACATTGGATCACCGGCAGGGGTGCAGACCGAGGAGCAAAGACGCGGTACGAGATAGCTGACGCAGAGAGAATGGCACCAGATAGGGACACGGATCCGTAAATAACAGTCAAGGAGTATACTCCTACTAGAGTGAGCGTCTCAGACGGTACCATTATCAGCAGCGTAGCATTCGAATTGGACGACAGATGAGTTAGGCACAGTGCGCGCGTCTCTTCTGTGGTCAGATGGAACATGTTTTGATTGAGTATGGGCTGAAATGTGGACAGGAGGATAGGAGATTCGGGGGGCGCGCGACCCTGTCGAAAAGGAAGTGCCCCGAGACCAGCTTCATCTCCATTGCTGACTTCGTCTTCCTCTTCGCTGGATGAATCCTGCAGGGGTTCACTTGGTGACCATGCTCTCTTATTTCGTCCTGTGGATGCCGCTACAGCAGCATTCTGAGATGTGAGTCCAGAGTAGTCGAACACCTCCCCGTCAACCGACAGGTCGTCTTGAGACTCATCGTCGTCCTCGTCGTCCTCGCTGTCATCAATTAGGATCAAGTCTTCCTGCTTCCTGAACTCATCCTGTTGAAAATAGCGTGCACCTTTCTTCTCGGTACGAGTTTGCTTCCTAGATTTCTTCCTGAGCAGATTTTCCACGCTCTCGCTGGGCTTCCTCTTGGACGAGGTTTTGGAACTACCTATGGATGCGACAGGCTCCGGAGGTGGTGATGGCTGCGCCAGTGCTGTAGGTGAAGACTTGGGGAGAACATCGACAGGCAAGTTCTTCCCTTCTAGCCTGGCCTTGCGTGCGGCAACCGCGCTCAGCATCAAGTGACTGGTAAGATGGTAAACGATACTGCGGACACAACGCGCTTGTCGTGAATTAGGTGCTAATCAGAGATTGCAAGCTTTTTCAACTTACCTCACTAGAAGCTCCCTAAGCGAGTTTTAACGGGGAGAAGCAAGGGAGAAGTACTAGCACAGTAATTTTAAAAACCCGTACATTATTGGGCCTACAACAGCCGCTGGGTTTCAAATGCTCGATTTCAGCACGTGACTATATGCATGAGCTCTCGATAAGGAAGGTGCAGATTTCACTCCATAACCTCGTCTAAAGCAATGTCTGCTCCTCCCGCACCCTCATCAAAGTCAGTGCTGTTCGCCCGCGGTATTATTTCCCGCCTTTCCATTTGGCCCGCGCTTCGCATCGCCGTTGATCAAAACTGGGGTGGTCCTGAATCCGCGGAGAAGCGCACATGGCTCGCGTCTGTCCTCGTTGATGCATTCGAACAAGAGAATCCTGCGCCAGATGTCCAATATGTTGAGCTTACGCTGCTGCAGGTCATGGAAGACGAGTTCGACACTGTGATTGATGATGATAGCGCGGAGAGCGTCGCAAAGGATGTCGTAGCGCTCTGGGAAGACATCGAGTCTGGACAGTCGGTGCTGGTAAAGAAGTTTGAGGAACTCTCGGATAAATTGAAGGGTAAAAAAGTACAGGCTGAGGAGGCTGTGGGAGATGAGAGTGATTGGGAGGACGAGAGCTCCGAGGAGGATGAGGACGCAGGCGAGAATGAAGACGCTCCACCAATGCTTTTAGATCATCAGCACCCTCCTCGAAAACAAGAGCCCGAAGTAGATGACGATGGGTTTACAATAGTGAAAGGAAAAGGGAAAAGTCACCGATGTGAGTGAGCTTTACGAGTGAGCGCGGTATCTAATCCTCACTCCCTCCCACAGGATATCTAATGTGACGCCATTATACGGCATCACACAGGCATTGACATCAATGCGAATAGGTTTACCCTGTTTTCAGTGAGCAGAAGCCTCACAATTCTGCATGACTAGTCTCGATGCAACCAAAATGATCCTGAGGCATTCTCCCAATTGAAAATCAAACGAAAGCAATTAGTGCTTCGTATGCAATGTGACGCATCTAGTACATGCTTTTAAGTGTCAAAAGATCTACTCGATGAACTTGTAGCCCTTCTCAATGTTCTGCTTGAGACCAGTGAGAGCAACCTTGAGCAGCTCCTCTTCTTCTGCCGAGATAGGTCCGACAGGGTGGATCTTCTCAACACCGTTAGGCTATGATGACGATAATCAGCGCAAAATAGCAAGATACGCAACATTGAATACTGACGCCGAGTTCAACATTGGACGCAAAGTACTCAACACCCTGGTCCAGGTACAACGGGCTGCGAACGAAGGTAGGCGTAATAACACCCTTCTCGCCCGCAATTCCTCGCAGAAGCGCGCCGGCGAACTTGGCACCAGCAAAAGCCATGGACAGTGTCGCGCTACCGGCACCTGCCTTCGCCTGAACGACCTCATCACCACCAAATTGGACACGGTGCACAAGCTTCTTGTACACTTCGCCGGTGACAGCTTTGCCGTAAGATGACTGCGAGAAAAGTGGAACGATGGTGTCACCAGAGTGGCCACCAACAACAGTAACCGGAGTGTTCTTGGGGTCGTTGCCAGTGACACTTGCGAGGAAGCGCGTGGCACGGACGACATCAAGCGTGCTCACACCGAAGATGCGCTTAGGATCGTAAACACCAGCCTTCTCGAAGACACGAGACGCGATGGGAACAAGGGAGTTGACGGGATTGGTGATAATGAGAAGGTGTGCTTTCGGGGAAACGCGTGCAACAGCGGAGGCGAGGTCACGGAGCACCGATGCGTTTGTCTGCAAAACATTCGCGTTAGCGTGTAGTACGCTGCTGATGCCAACATACTTACGCTGAAAAGGTCATCACGGGTCATCTTCACTGCGGTGTTAGAACGGTATATATGCTCAGACAGAAACAGGACTTACGCCAGGCTGAACGAAGAAAAACGATTAGCAAGAACGGCTGATAGCCGAGAACAGCACTCACTTTGCGAGGAACACCAGCAGGAACAACAACCACTTCTGCACCATCAAGTGCCTCGTCGAGCTTGTCTGCAGCAAAGCCGGTAACCTATTCGTGACGTAGCATTAAGCATCTACACACGGACACAAGCTTGGGAGACCAGACGCACCTCGCTGCCAGTGTCGATGTGGCTTACATCGGCTGCAACACCAGGAGCGCCGCGGATATCATAAAGGTTGAGCTTCTTGACGTGGGGGTCAAGCTTCATGAGAAGGGAGAGCGGTTGGCCAATTCCACCGCCGGCACCGAGGACGGTAACATTCGTCTGGCGGGACGCCGACGAGGAAAACGCGCGTGCCTGGGACACGGTACGAGCAGCAGAACGGGCGTACATAGTGGAGGCCGTGGACGAGGGGAGGAGTGGTGGAGGTGGGATGAGGAAGGGAGGGAGGCGTGAGACGCGTGACGCGATGGTTATAATGTTTTCGGAGAAGGTCGGCAGGCCTGCGCCGGCCCACTGTACTCGCCTCCTCCGAGTCGTCGCGCGCAGGAACGTCTGCATTCCCCATGACCCCCGGGCCCGGATGGCCACGGATTTTTGGGCCAGCTCGCACTAGTGAGTTTACACTTGTGGTGGATGGAATATACATTGACAGGTCGCGACAGCAATCGCTGGGTACTTGACCGAGCTACACTCAAACAGGCGCGCGCAGAAGACCTGCAATACGTCGATGGACCAGGATACTTGGATTTTCTGAACATCTTCTTCGCCAATTGTGAGTCTTGTCACACACCAACTCCACAGGTCTGTACATCTTTGTTCTCCAGTGATCTCGAAGCTAGGCAAGAAATTACAGCTCAGACAGCGCGTGATTGCCACCGCTACGGTCTTCTTCCGACGCTTTTACGTTAAGAATGCCTACTGTGAGACGGACCCGTTTATCGTGGCTGCCGCCTGTTGTTATGTTGCCGCAAAGGCAGAAGAATCACCTGTTCACATTAAGAACGTCGTTTCGGAGGCGCGCATGCTCTTCAGCAGTAAGTATAAACTTGATTGACATCCTGACAATTTGAGACTAAGAACAGACAAAGAGCACGGTGTGAAGACGTTCCCTTCGGATAATTCGAAGCTTGCAGAGATGGAATTTTACCTGGTTGACGACCTGGAATGCGACTTGACCGTCTTCCATCCATACCGAACGCTCATGACGCTGGTGGGCAAGGAAGGCAACCCACATGCCAGTGAAGCTGAAGCTGGGGAAGTAGGCATAGGCGTAGATGACGGGCCAAGGTACTGGGGCACTGGCGAGGGAAAACTCGAGTTGCAAGAAGGCGCCGTTCAGATGGCTTGGTGCGTGAACTATAATTTATCGCAATCAATCCTAAGGCTAGATTAATTAGGTTCATCATCAACGATACCTACCGCTCAGATTTGTGCCTGCTCTACCCGCCACACCTCATTGCGATCGCCGCCTTGTACATGACTCTCGCGCTTCATTCACACACGCGGAGCCACATTCAACTGCAAGCCCAATCCGTGTCCCCCCAGCAAAACTCCCAATCTAACCATTCGCAGAGCCAAAGCGGCCCGTCTCAGCCTACGCGTCGCTCGTCCCGGTCCTCTGTCACCGCCCAAAAGAAACAGCCACAGGATATTATCGGATTCATGGCTGGCTTGAACGTCAATATGGCACTCATTGCGACGATCGCCCAAGAGATCATCTCTCTGTACGCTCTGTGGGACCGCTACAAGGAGGATGCTGGTGGCACTGATTCGGCACGTGGGTCTTTTGCCCATAGCAACGTCGGTACGCTTGCGGGGTCAAAACGCGCGGCGAGTGGCGTAGTGCGCAGCGGCAGCGTCATGAGTGCGGGTACTACCAGCAGCGGTGCGACGCCTTCTGCTGGAGATATCAACGACCCTTCCTTGATTATGGAGATGCCACAGCAAGTTGTAACGCCAGCGTTTCTGGTGCAACTGCTATCACGAATGAGGGAAGCACGTCTGACTGATCTCGCTCAATCTGCCAGCGGTAGACCTGTAGCAGTGAACAAGATGCTGGAGCGGACTCAGGCAGCTGGGTGATGTTCTGCGTACGATAGCGATATGGTACAATTGCAATCCCGCGGCGTTTTGCGCATACGAGGACAGTATAAGTATAATGTACGTCATGTTTTATGTACTATAAATCAAGAGAGCTTTGTAGCATAATAAATAGAACATCCCGTGTGGTTGTACAACTCCCTGGGACGCCGAAAGCACGACAAGTAATCCATGAAACAACAGCAGACAAGATGTACGCCAAAGCAGATAGATACAGCCTATCAGTCAACATCTACGCCGGGGAACAACTCCTGCCTCGCCCGTTCGGCCTCGGCCTCATACTCAGGTTGCGCGCCCTGTGTTTTTACCGTGTCCTCCTTCCCCATCTCATGGGACACACTTTCCGCCTCCACATCAACTGATTGCGTTTCCTGCGTCGTCTTCGCTGTCTGTGTCTGTTGCCCATCAGCTACAGTACTGGTGGTACTTTCCAGAATGTTGACTTCCGAAGCCAAAGTTGAAGTCGCCGTCGAGGTAGTCTGCATATCCACTTTGCTGACCTCTTTTTCGAACGGAATTTCTTCTGACGGTTCTATTGCCTTGCTCTTGAGATCTTCATGAGGAATGCCAGCGAAAATGTCCCGCCCGGGTTCCGCTTGCCCGACGTCAACGGAAGTTTCAGCACCAGGGTTCGGGACAGGAGCATTGATCGCTTCTGCGTGATCGTCTAGGACTACAGGATGGTCCTTCAGATCATCCGCTATATGATGTACTCTGGGTATTGCGGCGGACATTTCTGGTGTCGCCGCAGCTACGGTAGTGTCGTATTGCGAGTACTAAACGTAAAATGGTTAGTATTAAATGTGGAGTCAACAAATACTTAGACATACGCTCTCGGGGAACTCTCCGCTTTTGATCGCAGGCTGAAGATTAGCTCATGGCATGCAGGCTGACAGCTGTCAACTCACCATGCGAAGTCCCAAGTTTTTAACCATCTGGCATTGTCACAACTATTTCGCGTCCATGTGCCTCCATAAGCGATAGGACTCAAATATATGAAATTCCAGAGTGCAAGGATGAGAAGAACGCCAGCGATTTGCAGACGCACTCTCGGCTTGAGATTTGATGTCACAAGATCGAATACTGCGCAAGACAGGAGGATGGCAAAGTACAAAGCAGGAAAGTAGTGGTGGAGGAAGAGTTGTCGACCCATCAAATAGAAAGGGAGGTAGTGCAAACACCATCCAACGAAGAGGAATCCACAGAGTGTATCGTATTTCACGACCTTCGCTGCAAATTGTGTCAATCTATTGTTCGAACAGTTGAAGTCGCACACGTACTATTTTCAAAATCCCTGAAGCCGCGTTTAGCTCGAAGGATCAATAGTCCGCGCACTATAACATAAGCAAAGAGGGCGGAAGTGCTCAACCACCACACCAAGGGGTTCCCCAGAAGATAAATTTGGCGATGATCTTTCACCCAGAAGTTCTACATCCAGGATATTTATGAATCTCGAGGATATTTATGAAAAAGAACCTTACAATTCCTCGACGAAGCCAAGGCCACGAGTCGGGACGGGAGTCAAACGTGTGCCTGTCGGTAAGTCCAGCATTCGTCCTCCACATTACTTGTTGAAGCTCCATAAACTTCGACAAAAATCCGGGGAGCTTGTAATTGACCTTCGGCGCGCTGGGGGGCACTACATATTGAAATTAATAGCGCATGGCGTACACATCAGTTTAAATACGCACGCATTGAGTGCGTTGCGGTCTCGATATACCACAACGAGTTCGCCTTCACCGCTTGCTTGTTGCACGTTACCTCTTGCTGGTCAAAACCCCACTCCGGTAGTTTAACTTTGTGCGAGAATAGATAGCAGCCCGTCATGGCATGCCTGAGCCGGAAATGCGTACGAAGAGTCCTCAAACGTTTGCCAGATAGCCGATCACGTTTGTCACCCTTCTCGATTTCCACAATCCAGTCATCATTCGCGTCACCAGCAAAGCCGGGCATACCGTAGCCAGATACCTCATTCTGGAAGTCTACTTCTGAGACGGGCGGGCGCTGATCATGCGAGTGGAGGTATTTCTCTGTCACAAGATGCCTTAACTTGATGTGCATACCTGGCTCAACGTAGGTGAGGGGATGCAACTCCCAGTCACTGTCTGGATTGCCCTCCCTGGTCGCATTAATGATTCGCCAATTATTATTCTCGTCACGGTGAGGATAGAGGGTGATCTGCTGCTCTACATAGGGTACATCAGCGACAAACTTTGATCAGACGAATTGAGCCTTACGTTTGCTTCCTCCCGGGTAAGTATGCGCATGTGAGTGGAGGTAGCCACCTTGCGTATTCACATGCCGGATAGCTACCTCAGACCCGATGGCCACGTCTGTTCAAGAGCCGAGTATGAGACAAATCACAAACGGTATATCAAAATGTCTTACCAGCGAAGGTATCCGCCATACCGCGACCGTTGAGAGTATGCTGGAATTCAGAGCTCATGAATCCGTCTCCATCCCCTGGATTCTGCAGAATCAAGAAGTGTATCCAAAACATGAACATATAGAACAGTAAAGGAATCGCGATCAGACACATTGCGCGCGCGATGAAATGACGCATAAACATTCGTGGTGTGACACGTAAGTCGCCCAAGAGTAGCCAGAGCTGTTTGACGGTGCTAAAGCCAACAGTTGCGATGGTGAAAAGGCCGACCCATTTACAGCTTACAACTGCACCGAGAGAAAGGCCAGAGAGAATAAGCCACGTCCACCATGTCTCAGTGAAGGGCTCATGTTTGTCCTCATTGCAGAAGCCAGTCCAGAGCAGTATCGTGAGCGCAGTAAAGAATACCAAGGGAGAGTCGAGGAGGATGTGTCGCGACTGGGTGACCAAGCCATTCTCGAAGGTGATGAAGAGCGAAGCCAGGAGAGCTGTTGTCGCACGGCAGTCAAGCGCACGGAGGGTTAGATAGGATATGGGTACAGTGGCAACGCCTAGCAGAGCGGGAAGCATCCTCATGGCAATATATGGGACGTCCTCATACGGCCTGAGCGAACAGGTCTACACTAACATCAAATGAGAAGTTACACGAGACACTCACTTGCCTATGTCTTTGAAGTCAAAGTTCCCGCTGTAGCCGAACATGAACCCTGCCAGTGTGATGAGTAGCTTTGCCAGCGGTGGGTGCACATCGACGAAGTACTGCGACTTGATGTATTTGGATGCAAACTTGCCGAAATGAACCTCGTCGAACCTGCGCAACGGTAAGTATATCAGGCATTCCAGCGTACTGGCCCATACGACGTACACAACGCTGGTAGGCTGTGATATACGAAATAATCGTACACACAGCGCTATTACGACGACGAGTCCGAGCAGTTTCCACTCCGCAGGGGAAATGTTCAAGCCACCCGACGCATGAGTCTTGCGACCAGGAAAATAGCCCTTAGATGCCGCCTCTTTTCGCGCGTCAGCGTCCAGATGGTCATGGCGGGGATGAGGAAACCTTTGGGGTGCGGCATGGGGAAGACCAGGTGGGGGAGAGGCCGGTCTCCGCGCTCTGACAGCGCCCGACATGGCGAGCAGAAATATTACGTATGACTAGGACAACAAGACGAACAGGACAGAAAACAAAGCGTATAAATGAAGGAGGGATGACTGGACTGAGACGTGAGCGGAAGCTGCGCAGATGGAGTCGACGTGTCTTAGACGCGTAGAGGCTGTCTCTTGAATTTCAAAAACAGTTTTTCGCGGATAGCCTATGAGCACTGTATAGCTGGAATAAGCCGACAAGTTATATAATTCGACATTTATCACCGTGCGAAATCAAAGACGCGACCTCAGATCGCAGACGCGTCGCTGGAAAGCGCTCGCTCAATCATTTCAGCATGTCGATGAATATCTTTGGTGCAGAGGTATGTGCAGAGTCTACCCTTAGACTAATACAGAGATTCTAAACACACACCTGACAGGCCACGGAGGAGAAGGCAGAAAATGCACGACTCTCCTCCTTCGTCGGAGCCCTCGCTCTTGGCGACCTCGTCAAATCGACATTGGGACCCAAGGGGATGAATAAAATCTTGCAATCTGCTTCTACTGGAGACATCAATGTAACAAATGATGGCGCAACCATCCTAAAGGGAATACAGCTCGATAATGCCGCGGCTAAGATTTTGGTCAATATCTCCAAGGTACAGGACGATGAGGTCGGAGATGGAACAACGAGCGTGTGCGTGCTTGCGGCAGAACTGCTCAGGGAGGCCGAGAAGTTAATCGCGATGAAAATCCATCCTCAAACTATCGTGGAGGGATATCGAATCGCCAGTGCAGCTGCATTGAAGGCATTGGAGAAGGCCGCTGTTGACCACAGGTAAGATGTTTGAAACAGCGCACGCTCGGACACACGTACTTGCGTCACTGTCATACTGTGGCGACTAAGGCTCATTTGAGGCATCTTCAGTGCCGAGCCAGTGCAGTTTCGTCAGGATCTCTTCAACATTGCGAGGACCACGCTGTCGTCAAAAGTCCTTTCTCAAGATAAGGATTATTTCGCGAATCTTGCCGTAGATGCTGTTCTCAGATTGAAGGTGGGTAAGCAATGGCAGGTGTGCTGAATGTATTAATCGAACACATGTTTGCAGGGCTCTACCGATCTCGACCACATTCAAATCATCAAAAAGGTTGGAGAAAAACTCACGGATTCCTATCTCGATGAAGGTGGGTCTAATTTTACTCGTGCTCTGCGCCTGGCATCACCTCCGTGCATCAGGCTTTATTCTGGACAAAACGATCGGTATCAATTGTCCGAAACGTCTGGAAAATGCGAAGATTCTCATCGCAAACACTTGTGAGTTCTCACACAAAGCTATTGTGGGATGCGGCACCGAGTTGAGCATGTTGCTGAACTAGCCATGGACACGGACAAGATCAAAATTTTTGGTGCTCGTGTGAAGGTAGATGGCACAGGGAAGCTCGCCGAGCTTGAGCGTGCGGAACGAGTACGCTGTTATTGCTCACCTCTCGGACTAATATCTGATGAGCTTGGGAATGTCTGCAGGAAAAGATGAAAGCGAAAGTCGATGACATCGCTTCACATGGTATTAACTGCTTCGTAAATCGTCAATTGATCTACAACTATCCCGAGTCATTGCTCTCCGAGAAGGGAATCGTGACCATTGAGCACGCTGACTTCGAGGGCGTGGAGCGGCTGTCACTGGTCACTGGAGGGGAAATCGCGAGCACATTTGAACGACCAGACTTGGTGAAACTCGGGCGATGTGATCTTATTGAAGAGATCATGATCGGTGAAGACAAGGTTAGATTCTAATATCGCTTCTAGTCGCTATTTGAATGCTCACGAGTGACATATCTTGCAGTTGATTAAATTCTCTGGTGTCGCTGCGGGTGAGGCATGTACCGTTGTCTTGCGGGGATCAACGTCCCAGATGGTGGACGAAGCAGAGCGATCATTGCACGACGCCTTATCTGTGCTATCTCAAACAGTGAAGGAGACTCGGGTGGTCCTAGGAGGCGGTTGCTCTGAGATGCTGATGAGTTGTGCTGTGGAAGAAGAGGCACGCAAAATTACGGGGAAGAAGGCTATTGCATCAGAGGCCTTCGGTAGGGCACTGAGACAAATACCAACCATCCTAGCCGACAACGCAGGATACGATTCCTCCGACCTTGTATCTAAGCTCAGGGCAGCACATTATGAAGGCCAGTTTGATGCTGGGCTTGGTGAGTTTGTTAAATAATAGCAGAGGTGGTTTTGCTTACAAAATACAGATATGAACGAAGGGAAGGTCGGGTCTATGAAAAAACTCGGCATTACAGAAAGCTACAAGCTAAAACGCCAAGTTGTTCTCAGTGCCAGTGAAGCGGCCGAGATGATCCTACGGTAAGCTTGTGTCATTCTTATCGGATGATTCCTGGCTGACACGCAATAGCGTGGACGATATTTTGCGGGCGACACCAAGAAGGCGGGAGGCAGTATAGAAACAGCAGTCTAGACTATGACATATCACAAAATTTGTATTGCATTGAGTTCGTGACACCACGATGGGCTAATTAGCAACACCTATTACTTCATACCGCCTTTCAGCTTAGCTGCTGCACACAGGCCGCACATGTGTCCCATGCGCGCGTCTACATAATTGTGTTGGGAAGCGAGAATTGGACGCAATGAGGTATTTTGGCGCAATGGGCGAGGGAGTATCACTTAAAAGATGCGATGGCCGTGGTGTTTTGTGGTAGCAATTATATATATGTCTGATCGTCAAGTTCCGCTCGAAAAACGAACAAGTCTTGGCTGATTTCTTGATCTCCAGCCATTTACTGCCAACACGATTCAACAGTACTTAGACCGCATCTGCTCACAGACGATCTATTCCATCCAGTATACGAAATACCAAAAGCTCGGATCCAAATGGTCGTGCAGAATTCCCCCACCTCTCAGTCGACGCCGGCTTCCCTCCCACCCTCTGTGTTCACACTCCCACAGACCGCGCAGCTAGAGGCACTATACACAATCATCCGGGATAAGAACACCAATCGTGGGGATTTTCTGTTCTACTCAGACCGCATTATTCGTCTGTTGGTCGAGGAGGGTCTCAACCATCTGCCGGTGATACCCAAGACGGTTGAGACTCCTACGGTAAGCTCCACCTCTCAAGACGGTCTATCTCACACGTGTGATCACGAACATGTCGCGACTAGGGTGCAACATATGAAGGCGTGGGCTTCGAGGGACATATATGTGGGGTATCCATTCTGCGGGCAGGGGAGGTATGCACACGACCCTGACGCCTCGTCGTACTTCTTGCCAATGCGTTCTGTGACCATAGGCTATGGAAGCTGGCCTACGGGAAGTATGCAGAAGCGTGCGGATCGGCAAGATTTTGATTCAAAGGGTGTGTTGCGTTTCGTATGCACCAGGAGGACGTTCATCATTGTTATCTGCTCGGCAGGACGAAGAAACAGCGCAGCCTAAACTTTTTTATTCTAAAGTGCGACGGCCCTAGGTATAAATGCATCTGAGTAGTTTGTTGACGGCGATACAGCTTCCCCAGGACATCTCGCAGCGCTATGTGCTGCTTTTGGATCCAATGCTTGGTATGTGTACATCTATTCGCCAATGCAGAACCTGGTCATACTTATGTGTGTAACCAGCGACCGGTGGTTCCGCAATGAAAGCAGTGGAAGTCATCATGGAGCACGGTGTGCCTGAAGAGCGAATTATCTTTATTAATCTGGTGCTTGTTCTGAAGTCGTGACTAATTTTGAAACTGATGGTCGGCTTGCAGATCTCGTCTCCCGAGGGGCTGCGGAACTTCTGTTCTAAATATCCCGCGCTGCGGGTGGTAAGTCTGCTATTACGTTCTGCTCATAGCCGCGACTGAGCTGCGAGCATGTGCGCCAGATTACTGGCTGGATCGACCAAGGGCTGAACGAGAAGTCGTACATCGTCCCCGGACTTGGTGACTTTGGCGAGAGAAGGTAACGTCATTAGTACCTGTGTGATCTAAGTCCTGACACGCATCTTCCTGGCAGATACTGCACATGAACGCAGAGACGTAACACTTACGGCGCTCCGTCTTGTTCTGGAGATTGTTCGAGGCTACGCCGTAAGTACGGGGTATTGAGGATCCGATGAACACTCTGTAGCAATATCACTGGCGCATATTTTGCATTATGAAATAGCATGACATGGACCATTTTCTATTGCCTGGGTATAGTATGGACGGCTGTGTGAATGAGCCACCAGCACTGTGTGAAGATCAGACGAGTGAGCGAATGGTGCTTGCAGGCGCTCGTCCCTTGGATATTAATCGCTAGCCTGACCCTCTGCGGTCGGCCTTGTTCTCTCTTCCTTTCCTCCTGAACGAGACGGGTTTGTTCCAAGTCAATCTCATTCATCTTTCGTGTTATATCCTATTTTACGACGACTGTTACAATGTCTCTTGGAACAGACCAGCCGATGCCCCGCCGCCGTCGATACTCGGGCGCAAATGCTGTCGAAATCATCAAAAGCCCAGTTGTATCTATACCTCCGCCGCGGCCCAAATCTACTCCCCCGACAGAGCGACCCAAGCAGCGACGGAGGCATCAACTCGAGTCAGACTCAGAAAAGGAGGAGATGCAAATCGACGCGGATTCGGACAGTAGTTCCTCCGATCCTTCTTCTCCTGTCGACAACGACGCACACATCCCCCTTGCAGACAGGCCTACACGACCTCTTCCCGCGAAAGCGCGAAAAATGATGAACAACGGCTCCAACAACCCCCTCCATCAGGCCGCCAATCCCCACATGCTGCCTGTCCAGGCGCATGTACCCAAGGGCGGCGTCGCATCGAGCCAACGGCGACTGTTCGTCGTGTTGGAGCAAGCTTGTCTAGAAGCATATCGGGTTAGCAGTGGGGGACGAGGCAAGAACGGGCGGGAGGGTGATGTCAAGTATGCTTTATTGAACTGCGACGATCATCAAGGCATTTTGGCAAAGACGGGGAGAGACATTGCGGATGCGAGGCCGGATATCACACACCAGGTATGTCATCCAAACATTAGTACGATTCATTTTTCCGAGGTCTTTTAGTGTCTCTTGACACTGTTAGACTCTCCTCTCAATAAAGCCGGTCTCCTTCAAGTCTACATACACACCGCCAAGGGCGTCCTTATCGAGGTAAACCCGCATGTGAGAATACCACGGACCTTCAAGCGATTCAGTGGATTGATGGGTGCGTATCCGCCAAATCGGTTCACATCTACGAGATTCTGATGTCCTCCGGCTCCGCAACCGAAAATAGTTCAACTTCTGCACAAGCTATCAATTCGAGGAGTAAATGGTCCAGAAAAGCTCTTGAAAGTGATCAAGGTAGGGAACAATACTATCTCGAATATACGATGCTCTGATATGTGTTATAGAACCCCGTCACTGATCATCTCCCCGTTAACACCATCAAGTTGAGTGAGTATAAACGTACCTCCACTTCCTAGCACTGTCGTCTCATGTCAACTCCTAGCACTTTCCGGTGATGCACCGACAATGCGATTGTCAAAATTCCTTCCAACTCTTCCGGAGACACATTCAATTGCTGTTTTCGTTGGTGCCATGGCTCGGGGAAAAGATGATTTTGCAGACGGGATTGTCGACCAAAAAATCAGTATCAGTGATTACCCGCTGAGCGCATCGGTGGCTTGTGGAAAGGTAAGTATTATGTATGTAGCGATGTTGGCCCTCGCTCAACGCATTTGTAGATCTGCTGCGCACTCGAAGAACTTTGGGACATTGTCTGATCCAACCCGTTCTTGCTTGGGACGATTTAATTATTTTGTTTACTGATGTCATTTCACGTTTGTATGTTCTGCATCCGTTTGTCACATTGCATTTCAACCTGCGCACTGATCCCTGCCTCTCACCCTCCACCTCCGTCACGCTGACTCATTACATCCAACTGTAGTCTGTCCTTAATCTCGCGCGAACAGCGTGCCGTATTTGTATTTGCCAACCCGACGACGTCTCTGGCGCCCTGCGACTCAACTTGCAATCGGGTGTTGTAGTGTTGTATGTAGCTAGTAATCCGAAAATGAAATGAGTTTGGGCCCTATGATACCTACCTTCAGCCCGAACGGAGACCGCGTGTGGCCACCGCAGGCGTTTGCTCGATTGCAGTGTAGATAGATCATGGCGATCTGCCCTTGCTGGCGCTACCTTTTATAGCTTTCCCTACCGTCATCCAGTCCTCCACTTGCTCCTGTCTCCACAATTGTCATCCTGCCTCCTGCACATTACTTTCAAGCTCGCACATCGTTACAGGCATAGATGGACCACTTACAACCTGCCAGCGTGAGCCCGATGCCGGAGGGCGTCACTGATCCCAACTACAAGCCACTTCCTGGCCGATTGGGCAACCTTACAGTCACCCAGCAACACGCGCTCGACAAATTTCGCAAAGAGCTGCAGGATGAGGAGATTTTTGTACCAGAGAGAATGGACGATGCCTTGCTACTTAGGTGTGTGTACGACCGTGCAAGTGTGGTCCTCACATCCCCTCCTCACGGCGCTGATAGCGCGTGTTTAGATTTTTACGGGCACGCAAATTCGATGTCGCAAAAGCAAAAGCAATGATTGTTTCGTTTGAGCAATGGCGGAAAGACTTTGGCGTAGACGATTTGGTTAAGTGAGCATTCGTGGTGATCGTCTGCTCGTATCCTCATCGTCTCTCTGTAGGAATTTCGACTTCAAGGAGAAAGCCGAGGTAGACAAGTACTATCCCCAGTACTATCATAAAATAGACAAGGTTTATCACGCCCATTGTTATCTTACAGCCTGTCTGACGTTGCATTATCCAGGACGGGCGGCCCGTGTACGTGGAACGGCTCGGAAAGTTGGACATACCGAAGCTGTACGCGATCACGACACAAGAGCGCCAGCTGCAGCGGCTGGTGTACGAGTACGAGAAGAACGTAAACGAACGTCTTCCCGCGTGCTCGAAGGCGGTCGGCCACCCAGTCGAGACGTCATGCACCATCCTCGACTTGCAGGGAGTGTCGATTTCCAACTTCTACCGCGTCAAGGACTACGTTATGTCCGCCGCGGCCATCGGCCAGGACCGCTATCCCGAGTCCATGGGCAAGTTCTACATAATCAACGCGCCTTGGGCATTCTCCACCGTGTGGGCGTTCATCAAGCCTTGGCTGGACGAAGTAACTGTCTCGAAAATTGACATCATTGGGAGCGGATACAAGGACAAGCTTCTCGCACAGATCCCTCCCGAGAATCTACCCAAGGAGTTTGGCGGGAAGTGCGTATGTCCAGGCGGGTGTTCACTGAGCGATGCGGGCCCGTGGAACACTTCGTCCTGAATTTCCAACTCTCGGCTAGATTCTGGGCGTGGCGGTGGGTGAAGGCGTTGGGTGCGTGGATGTTGTCGTTTATCAATTTTCCTATACCTCTATTCTAGTAGATCAAGCAACGGTGAACATTACTATAATACACCGATGCCATCGAACACCAGAGCGCATTCGATGAGTTCATGTGTTTGCGGAGCTTGTGAGAGAACTTTAAATGCGTCGCGCCCATCGTCGAATACGTTGCGCAGCTATCATCTATTATCCCGTCGCCGCCGGCCCGCCAGTTAGTCATTGCGCTCCACTTGGCGTAGGCCACGCGCTGCCGCACAGCTTGTATGCCGTCTATAACCCGATGAGCTCGCGACGCTTGGCGTAGGCAGACAAAACAAAAGAATCCTCATTGTGCGCAGAGGCTAGCAAACTACTTTCAGATTCGGCCAGAGTATTATTATGCGCAACATGAGTATTGCATTGCAAGAAGCAGACGAAAGAGAAAGCCGTAACGTAACGTAAGGTGGGCATCTACATTGACATTCATTGATCCTTCTTCCCTGGTTTTATTGCTTAGAAGCACTCTGAAGGCGCGATGGTGAGGTGTTGCTGAAATATCAAATAAGTGAGATGACATACTGCGGTGGACGATGCCAGGACCAGACTCGTCGTACTCTTGCTTCGAGCACCATAGATTCTGGAAGGTGCTGAGGGAAGCAAGAATAGAACCACCAATCCATACAGAGTATTTTCTCTCGGGAGGCGCAACGATCTTGACCTATAGACAGGGGTACGATCAGATCTGGACTTAGTTTAAATACCAATCACATACCTTCATGCTCGAGGGAGCAAGGGCAGTGAGCTCCTTCTGCATACGGTCAGCAATACCAGGGAACATAGTAGTACCACCAGACAGGACGATGTTGCCGTAGAGGTCGCGACGAATATCAAGGTCACACTTGTAGATTGAATTGTATCTGAAGGCACTCGTAAGGTTGTATCCCTAATACGTTCTGAGACAACGTACGCAGTTTCATGAATACCAGCAGCCTCGAGACCAAGGAAGGCAGGCTGGAAGAGCGCTTCTGGTGCTCGGAATCTTCAGTCCGATCATTCCATCAATATCATGCTAATGCTAGTGAATTGCCAACACGCACCGCTCGTTGCCAATAGTGATGACCTGACCGTCAGGTAACTCATAGCTCTTCTCGAGCGCAGAGGAGTGCGCGGCGGTCTGAAGCTCCTGCTCGAAATCGAGCGCGACATAGCACAGCTTCTCCTTAATGTCGCGAACAATTTCACGCTCCGCAGTAGTGTGGAACTGGTATCCACGCTCCGTCATGTTCTTAATCAAGAACTCAGTGAGATCACGGCCGGCCAGATCGATACGTAAAATAGCGTGCGGGAGAGAGAAACCTTCGTAGATGGGCACAGTGTGGGTGACACCATCACCAGAGTCGAGTACAATACCGGTCGTACGACCTGATGCGTACAGCGACAAGACGGCCTGGATAGCGACGTAGAAGGCGGGGGCGTTAAACGTCTCGAACATGATCTGGGTCATCTTTTCACGGTTGGCTTTGGGGTTGAGAGGCGCCTCTGTGAGAAGGACGGGGTGCTCCTCAGGTGCAACACGAAGCTCGTTGTAGAAAGTGTGATGCCAAATTTTCTCCATGTCGTCCCAGTTGGTAACAATACCGTGCTCAATCGGGTACTTGAGGGTCAAGACACCACGCTTCGACTGAGCCTCGTCGCTGAAGTCCAAGTGAGACATTGTTCAGAATCAAGTCGCGTACTACGCACCCAACGTAGGAGTCCTTCTGACCCATACCAACCATCACACCCTGGTGACGGGGACGTCCTACGATGGACCTATAATGTGTTGAATGAATGCCAGCTCAGCGATGAATATATTATACATACGGGAAGACGGCACGAGGGGCATCATCGCCTGATATATGCGTGAGACGGAGCCACAGCTGTACGCTGAATCAAAACTCACCAGCGACTGTGTCAAGTCAATCAGTAACAAGCGCGCAATAGGAACAGTAGTGCACTTACAGCCAGCCTTGCACATGCCGGAACCATTGTCAATGACCTAGAGAGGAGAGTAAGTCAGCGTATAATCTCCTGGCGAGGGGAATGAAGTGACACGTACGAGCGCCGCTACTTCATCCTCCATGATGGCAGGTTATTCGTAAGAGAAGATAAGAAAGATTGGTGGAAAGAGACGCTGTGGGGGAGATAATTTATACAGCGAGGAGGCGATGTCGGGTAAGCGCAGATAGCACTGGTCAGTGACTGCGGGCTGCGAGCTGCGAGCTGCGACGGACACACCTTGAATGATGAGGAGGATGGTCAAGAGGCGATGTCGGGGTGATGCCCCTCAATACCTTATCCGATCAACTTCAGGGCAGGCCCAAATGAACTTCGCCATGACCGTTCGTCCTCGGCTCCCTCCCGCCTTGTCTGCTACTGCGCAACCCTAGCGTCACATCACACGCATGGACGAAAATTCCGCATGATCTTCGCCCCTCTCACGTACAAACCAGGATGCGCATATCGGCGACGAGCACTCAATGAGGACAATGTCCGGTTCAGGAAAGACGTCACATGCTCGCTGCAGCGGGCGCCAACTGGCCCAGACGCGTCAGCGGCAGCGTCGCGTCTGCACACACTGGCAATCTAAGTTCACCGTCTCCTTCGTCGCCGTCTCCGCTATGCCGCTCGAAGCGACGTTGATGATCATTGACAACTCGGAGTACATGCGAAATGGAGACTACACGCCCTCGCGCTACGATGCCCAGGCCGACGCTGTCACGACTATCTTCCAGACCAAGGTCGACTCGAATCCAGAGAACACGGTCGGGGTCATGACATTGGCGGGCAAAGGGTGTGTCTCGCTTATTCAAGACATAACTTTCGTATTAATTTCATTTCATGAAGGCCGGAGGTCTTGGTAACACATACAAAAGACATTGGCCAAATCCTGCAAGCTGTCCATACTACATCCGAGAAGATTAGTGGTGTAGCGGATATTCCCACCGCCATTGCGGTGGCACAACTTGCGCTCAAACATCGTCAGAACAAGAACCTTCGACAGCGCATAATTGTTTTTGTTGGCTCCCCGCTGGAGGGCCAGGGTGCAGACGAAAAGGGCATGATCAGACTAGCAAAGAAACTCAAGAAGAACAATGTTGCTGTTGATTTCATCGCGTTCGGAGACGGTATTGAAGAAGGGGAGCAGAATATTCTCAAGAAATTTGTTGAGAACGCGTCAGGAGGGGACAATTCGTGTGTAAATTTACATGTCCACGTCCAACACCTTTGACAGAAGTACCATTTCAGACATTATGTTGCCGTCCCCCCTGGACCCCATCTGATATCAGATATAGTTGTTTCGTCGCCGATTCTTGCGGGTGACCGAGGTATTCCAGAAGAGGCCATGGGGGACGTACCGTCCGGTTCGGGGGCAGGTGGTGCCAGCAATTTCGAATTCGGCGTTGACCCTAGTTTAGATCCAGAATTAGCTATGGTGCGTCCGAAGTATATTGCTATTGCTGAATCTTGGTGATGCTCAGCTGCGTGTAGGCGCTGCGGATGTCATTGGAAGAAGAGGAAGCTCGCCGAGCGGCAGCAGCACAACCAAGTGTATCATCGTCCGCACCGCCGCCAGAACCTGCGCCCGCTTCAATACCTGCGCAGCCAACAGACGACGATGAAGACGCTATGCTGCAGCAGGCGCTGGCCATGTCCGAGGGACGAGATGTAGAGATGGCTGATCATGTGAGCGGAGATGACGAGGAGATGACTGAGGAGGATGCGATCGCGCGCGCTATCGAAATGAGTATGAAGGGGGACGAAAGCCAGGATAAGAAGTAGGCCATCTCGACTTGATATTCCTATGATGCATTGTAAGAGTTGTATTGCATATCGTTACTTTTTGCTGCGCGGTCATGCGCTTCGCAATATTTTGACTGCATTGCTATGGATCCAGCGTCCACTCCCAACGTCACGACTGCGTTTTGTTGTACTTCGAGTATGACAACGTGATATCGAGCTCAACCGCACAAAATACAGCGCGAGAAGGTTGCGAGCTTGTTAAAGCTCTGCGTATGTAGTCTACTCTCTACCTATTGGAACACTACTAGGACATTGTACACATTTATGTTGATCTACTGCGTTGTCTCCCTTCCTTTCTTCAGCATGCTTTCTCTACTGGGACCTATTCCAATCCACTCTATTGGCACACCCAGGTATTCTTCAATAAATCTTACATACTCCTTACACTTGTCTGGCAATGCATCGAAGGTAGTAATGGTAGAAATGGATGTTTTCCATCCCGGCAAGGTAACATATTGAACGTCGACCTTCGCAAGAAGCTCCAGGTCCGCTAACGTCGCGATATAAGCCACTTATGTAGTAGTCGAAGCGGAATGCCTTACCAGGGAAGCCGGATAGCTCTTTCTCACTCACCAGGTATTTCACCGCAATCTTGATCTCCTCGAGGTCATCAAGGATATCGAGCTTAGTCAAGTTCAGCTTATCGTAGCCGTTGATAAGGCACGAGTGCTTCATTACGACAAGGTCTAGCCAGCCGCACCGCCTGCGGCGTCCAGTTGTCGTGCCATATTCTTTTCCCACTTCTTGTAGATGTACGCCGACGTCCTAATGAAGTCGCGTCAATCAGACACGAGTCATAGGCATGACTTGAAGGTGTAACGCACATTCAGCTGTTCTGTGGGGAAAGGGCCCCCACCTACCCGTGTCGTGTACGCCTTGATGACACCGATAGTAGTGCCAATCATCTTCGGGGGAATACCAAGACCAGTGCAGACACCTCCGATCGTCGTCGACGACGATGTGACGTACGGGTAGGTTCCATAGTCGAGATCGAGCATCAGCGCATTGGCGCCCTCCACAAGGATTCTCTTCCCTTCCGCGACAGCCTTGTGTAGATAGACGACGCTGTCAATCACATAAGGACGTAATCGTTCGGCAAGCGCCTGGGTGTATAAAACCAAAGTCGAATGTTAGGCGTAATGGGCAAATCGATGCCATAAGAACACGAGCCTTGTAGCGAATAATTTCTCCCTCGGTGTCGTATTCGAAATGTCCGTACCGTTTGAATCGCCCTTCAACTACTTTGCGAAATTTTTGCGCGAATGTGTCGTGGTCGAACAAATGATGCACACGCAGCCCTGATCGCGATGCCTTTGCAGAGTAAGCCGGTCCGATTCCTTTCTTCGTGGTGCCAATGCTGCGAGGGAGATCCTTCATATGCTAGCATCGGATTATAACACGTGTACACTTACCTTGAGCCGCCTAATTCAACCTCCTTCAAGCCATCGACAATCTGATGAAAATCGAAAACGAGATGCGCGCGGTCGGATATGAATAGTCGATCCGTACAATCCAACCCTTAAGATTGTGTTTTAGTATGCTTGAAAGTGGCATGTCATTAAGAACGGGCACACCTTGACTCTGCAATGCATCAAGCTCGGCAAAGAAGGATGGAATATGGACGACCACTCCAGATCCAATTACACCTATGCACCCGGGATTGACCAGGCCTGGAAGGTAGGTCAGCGTGTGAACCGACAGATACATCACCAAAAAGACCTAGGTACTCACCACTGGGCAACAAGTGGAAAGCAAACGTCGTTTTTACGTGTTCTGGGCCGACAGGTACCACAATTGTGTGACCCGCATTGTTCCCTCCAGCACAACGCGCACAGACATCGACGTCGGCAGAGAGAAGATCGACAAGTTTTCCTTTACCCTCGTCGCCCCACTGAGCCCCGAGCACGACGGTCACCGTCATTAGGGCTGCTCAATTTAGTTCCAAATGACCCGAAGGAAAAATTTGGTCTAGAGCAATTGCAACGAGACGCTTACGTAATATAGGAGGCTGCACACCTTGCACGTGCCGCCCGTGATTCCATCTTAGGACGTAGACGGGACGACTCCTTTCATTGCCGTTATTCCTTCGTAACGCGTGCAGCCGTGCTTTACAATGCAACCAATGCTGCGCCCTCGCGGACAATAAAAGGGCACCAAAAAAAGTAATCCTGCCCTTTTTACGTGCCCTTTCGAAGGATTTAAGGAGTTTTCATTGGTATCTGGCTCAAATACATTGCTTGGCTCTCGCTTGCATGTCAAGTATTGTGGGTATATTGTTTTGGAAAACTTAGCAAAATGGTTAGAATGCAATTTCTAATGACATAAACTGATATGTTATGCCACATACTTCAGATGCTCTTACTACTCCAAAATTTGCATTTTTCATTATGGGAGCCCTGAAGTGACTGACCACAGGTCAGATGTGGCAGGGGCTCCCATAGTCACTATGATAAAGCATTACTTGAAATCAATAATGAAGCAACCAATGCCTAAGCATAGGTATACTGCTAGTAGTTCATTAAATACAACAGAGACATATTTTTTACTAATGCCATTATGAACATGGTCTCCAGTTATGTCACAGACTTTCAAAGTGTCTATCTAATTGGCAGTGGTTTGGACTGTTGTCCAAGCAAGGCACTCAAGAGCATCTTTGGCACAATGCAGTGTCCCAGTGGCTTTTTGTGTTGAGGGACCTAATGACTGAGAATCAGGAGTTCAACTGCTAACTGGTACTGGGACTTATACACGCTATAGTCCTACTGAGACTAAGGTT